CATTGCACTCCAGCCTGGGTAACAAGAGCGAAACTCCATTTCAAAAAAAAGAAAGTGTTAAAAATAAAAAAAGTAAATCTATAGCTGCATAGTTTTCTTAGCTTGCTTCTTGCTGGTAGAAATTTGAGGGCCCAAAGACCTGTTTTCATTTTGTACTATTTTTGCACCTTTCAGTTTAGGCTGGCAGTGCTTCTTTTTAAAACTTTGAGTATCCTGTGAATCTTACTGGGATTCATGCCATTAGGCAAAAGCCACACCCACAAATCTCTTCTAATTAGGCTTTTTCCACCTTGGGCTTCTGCTGGGATTGCTGAGGGATTCCACTTGTAGTGGGTACAGTCATGTCCCCCAGAAAGCTGTGGTCACGTCCTAACCCTGATAAGGTCACTGTGAATATGACCTTGTTTGGAAATAAGGCCTTTACAGATGTAGCCAAGTTATAAGATGATACTGGATCAGGAAGGGCCCTAATCCAATGGTTGATAGTCTTATAAGAAGAGAGAAATTTGGTAGGGTGTGGCGGTTTACTCCAGTAATCCCAGTTCTTCGGGAGGCCAAGGTAGGTGGATCACCTGAGGTCAGGAGTTTGAGACCAGCCTGGCCAACATGGTAAAAACCCGTGTCTCTAAAAATAAAAAAAAATTAGCCAGGCGTGGTGGTGCATGCCTGTAATCCCAGCTACTCAGTAGGCTAAGGATGAGAATTGCTTAAACCCGGAGGCAGAGGTTGCAGTGAGCTGAGATCACGCTACTGCACTCCGGCCCAGGTGAGAGGGAGACTCTGCCTCAAAAAAAAAAACAGATAGAAATTTGGACATGAACACAGAAGACACAGGGAAGAAAGCCATGTGATGAGACAGAGATTGAGGGGGCATAGGTCTACAAACCAAGGAATGGCAAAGATTGCTGGCAACTACCACCAGAAGCCAGGAAAGAGTCATGGAACTGATCTCCCTCAGAACTTCCAGAAGGAACTAACCCTACTGACACCCTCCAGAACAACAAATAAATTCCTTTTGTTTAAGCTACCCAGTTAGTGGTAGTTTTTTAAAAGCAGCCTAGGAAACGAACACAACACTCTTAAGCTTAGTCCAATTTTCTTTTCTTTTTTTTTCTTTTTTTGAGACGGAGTTTCGCTCTTGTTACCCAGGCTGGAGTGCAATGGCGTGATCTCGGCTCACCGCAACCTCCGCCTCCTGGGTTCAGGCAATTCTCCTGCCTCAGCCTCCTGAGTAGCTGGGATTACAGGCACGCGCAAGCATGCCCAGCTAATTTTTTGTATTTTTTTAATAGAGACAGGGTTTCACCATGTTGACCAGGATAGTCTCGATCTCTTGACTTCATGATCCACCCGCCTCGGCCTCCCAAAGTGCTGGGATTACAGGCTTGAGCCACCGCGCCTGGCCGCTTAGTCCAGTTTTCTAACTGAATGATTCTTTAGGTACTATTTTCAGTCTTTCTGAGGTGGTGGTTGTTTTGGAGACAGAGTCTCACTCTGTCACCCAGGCTGGAGTGCAGTGGTGCGATCTTGGCTCATTGCAACCTCCGCCTCTCAGGTTCAGATGATTCTCATGTTTTAGCCTCCCGAGTAGCTGGGATGCCCAGCTAATTTTTGGATTTTTAGTAGAAAAGGGTTTCTTCATGTTGGCCAGGCTGGTCTCAAACTCCTGGCCTCAAGTGATCCTACCACACTGGCCTCCCAAAGTGCTAGCATCATAGGCATGAGCCACCACACCAGGCCCTTTCTGAGGTCTTAACAAAGAATTGTTCTAGCCTAATCCTTGGCTTCATCTGAAATTGGTCTTTTGGCGGGTTCCCTGGATTCAATCTTTGTTTGAAATCTGTTTCTTAATTTTAGTGTCATTTACTCTCTGGAGATGCTGGGAATTCTCAGAATTACATAATTTGTCTGTCCTTCCTTTAATTCATCCCTCTTTTGCATTTTAAAGTAAGCAGCAAGAAGCCAAGAAATACTTTCAAAAGTGGATATCTCTTTAGCTATATTATCAACCAGTTTGTGGACCACATCTACTTTCCATGTTATGATAAGGCAACAACTTTGCCAGTATATAACAAGGATCCCTTTCCCTCCAGTTTCTAATAAGATTTTTTCTGCATTTTGTTAATCTCTCACTCTAACTTCCTCAAAGGCCATAGTGTTTCTACTGTTTTTTCAAGGCTCTTCAAACTTCACTGATCCGCTCCTCAAAGTCCTTCTAACTTCTGCCCAACTACTGGGTTCCATAGATATTCTCATGTTTCAGGTCTTTATTATAGCAGCACCCGTATCTAGATACCAAAATCTGTGTGTTATCTATTGTCATATAACAAATTATCTCAGAGCTTAGTGGCTTAAAACAACAAATATTTATTATCTGACAGATTCACGTGGTCAGGAACAGGTTCAGTTGGAGTAGCGTAGCTGAGTGGTTCTGACCCAGGATTTCATGAGCTTACAGTCAGATGTTGGCCACTGCTGTAGTCATCTACAGGACTGACTAGGCTTTACACATATTCTGGCAATTTTGTTCTGGCTGTTGGAAGGAGTACTCAGTTCCTCATCATGTGGACCTTTCTGTGGGACTGCTTGATACAGCACTCTCCCGGAGCAAATGATTGATCCAACAGAAGTACCAGGAGAAAGCACCTTCCCACCACCACCTCCTTTTTTTGAGGGGGAAAAAAAAAAAAAAGGCTGGAGTGTAATGGCACGATCTTGGCTTATTGCAACCTCTGTCTCCTGGGTTCAAGTGATTCTCCTGCCTCATCCTCCTGAGTAGCTGAGACTGCAGGCGCCTGCCACCATGTCGGGCTAATTTTTGTACTTTTAGTAGAGGGAGGGTTTCACCGTGTTGGCCAGGCTGATCTCGAACTTCTGCCCTCAAGTGACCCGCCCACCTCAGTCTCCCAAAGTACTGAGATGACAGACATTAGCCGCCACACCTGGCCATTTCCCCCCTTTGTTTTTGACCTTGTCTTGGAAGTCACAGATTATCAATTCTGCCATATTCTATTGTAAAGTGAGTCACTAAGTCCAGCCCATACTCAAGGGAAGATTATCAAATACTTTTTGGACATATTTTAAAAATAACACTAAGCATTCTAAAAAACAAATTGAATTTATAGACGCTGAGAGTAGAACGGTAGTTACCAGGGACTGTAGGGCAGAGGGAGTGAATTAGGGTGATAGTGGTTGAAGGACACAAAATTTCAGTTAAAAGTTCAAGAGATCTGTTGCACAACATGGTGACTGTAGTTAGTAACAGTGTTTTCAGCCATGTGTGGTGGCGTATGCCTGTAATCCCAGCACTTTGGGAGGCCAAGGCAGGCGGATTACTTGACAGCCCAGCCAACATGGTGAAACCCCATCTCTAAAAATACAAAAATTAGCCGGGCATGGTGGCGTGTGCTTGTAATCCCAGCTACTTGGGAGGCTAAAGCTCAAGAATTGCTTGAACCCGGGGGACGGAGGTTGCAGTGAGCCGAAATCGTGCCATTGCACTCCAGCCTGGGTGACAGAACAAGACTCCGTCACAGAACAAAACAAAACAACAACCAGTGTTTTGTACATCTGAAAATTGCTGAGAGAGTAGATCTTTAGTGTTATTGTTGCAAATAACTTTGTGAGGTAATGCATATGTCAGTAGTTTGATGTCATTCCACAGTGCATACATACTTCAAAATATGTTGTATACCATAATATATACGATTTTTGTCAGTTAAAAATAATGAAAAATAATACAAAAAAGCAAGCAAACAAACAAATGGAACAGAGTAGTTAGCTGCTGTTGAACTTTAATAACAGGGAAAGTGTAATGTTGGCCACTTCCCTTATTATGTTAGTTGGCCTAATAAGTAAAGTGGGAACCAGGGACTTAAAATTGCATGTAATTGCCGAGTGCAGTGGCTCAACGCCTGTAATCCCAGCACTTTGGGAGGCTGAGGTAGGAGGATCACCTGAGGCCAGGAGTTTGAGACCAGCTTTGCCAACATGGTGAAACCCCGTCTGTTATTAAACATACAAAAAATTAGTTGGGCGTGGTGGGCACCTGTAATCCCAGCTACTCGGGAGGCTGAGACAAGGATCACGTGAACCCAGGAGGTGGAAGTTGCAGTGGGCTGAGATCGAACCACTGCACTCCAGCCTGGGTGGTAGAGTGAGACTTCGTCTCCAAAAAAAAATCAGATCATCCAGAACCCAGAAGATCTAAGAGAACAATTTCTTCAGGTTTTTCTTTTGCTGAGGCATCACTTCAGTATCTCTTTGGGTAACAAAGACTCATTTGTATAAAGAACTGTGTACCTGTGCCATCTTAAATATTCTGAGTGACAAATGCTAAGCATGTGTGTATTTATATGTGTTTGTGTCATAATCATAGGGAACAACCTTAAAATAGAATTATTGATTAAACTTTTTTTTTTAAAAAAAGGACCCTTTAAATAATATTCAGAAACCCACTGTGTACAACATATAAAAATGGAATTACCCTTGTTAAAGGGATGTGGGTCCAGAATTCCACTGGCTCAGCATCCCTTTTAACCCTTCCTCATATTGGTATCAGATATACAAGGAACATAGTTTGAAAACTAGACTATACCATCAGATCCCCTTCTAGCATAATTCACAAAAATCGATTAATCTTTAAGATAGCAGAGCAGCCGGGTGCGGTGGCTAACACCTGTAATCCCAGTACTTTGGGAGGCTGAGGCTGGCAGATCACCTGAGGTCAGGAGTTCAAGACCCGCCTGGCCAACATGGAGAATCCCCATCTCTAATATTTAAAAAAAAAAAAAAAATGATAGCAGAGCTCAGGAAGATAGCCATAATAATAAAGTAGCACACTGCTGTGTGGCAGGCTGATTTCTGGTGCTGTCTCTTGTGTAATAGCCAATGAAAAGCCATTTGGTTTTGGTTTAGGGAAGTAGTTGGTGATTAGGTAGCCATGGATATCTGTACTTTCATTAGTCTGTTGTCTTACCTAATTTTTTCTTCTCTAACAGAATATTACAACACATCTTTGCAGGATTCTTTGCAAATTCTGCCATTCCTGGATCTCCACACCCTTTTTCCTGGTAAGTAACTAACTGCTTTCTATCTTACTCTGTTGGAGTGGCATCATTTTATTAGGTGCTGTCATTTCTGTGCAACAGAGAAAAAGAGCTGCATAGGTGAGTATGTAGATGTAACTGGGGGCTGCTAGACTGCCATTATCTGCTAAGCCCAAGCTTAATGAGAACTTTTGTGTTTTTATTGTTCAGGCTCAGGAGAGAGCTGTCCTGGTCCCCCAGGATGTTTGGGTGCTAGAATTGTTTTGATTCCTTTTATATTCAGGTCTGAGAGTCGTGTTGAGGTAGGGAATGAGATGGTCCCTGCCAGGCTTGGTATCTGATTCGTGGGTTTCCCCTGTAGACTACACAGGAATATTTTATTCCTTAAGAATTTCTGAAATTGAAAACATTATGCTGAACTTTAGTTTTTCAAAGTGAGAAGATTTGTCAGAAGAAACAGTAGGCTATAATTCAGTATCAGAGTGATGCTTATGTATGATAGGCATTAAAGATGGAATTTCTTCTTGTCTGGAAAATTATCTGCTGCTTCTAGCAGTGGCCCAGAAGGCTTGTTTGTTCAAAGGAACCTCAGTTCTTTTAGGACCTCTGGGTGTCATCTAGTAGTCTGGACCTCTGCTGGTAGTATACCAGCAGCTGGGGCGGTGGGGTGGGAGAAAAGGTGTTGCCAAGTCCCTTTTGTAATTGCTCTAAGTTGTGATTCAGAGAGACTGCTATGGCTGCTTCTCTACTTGAAAGCTCCTCATTGTCCAGAACTGTGGGTGGCTTCTTATAATGAGGGATGTTTGGTGTAGATTTTGACCAGTTATGAAGGAAAACTCTCCTTAAAAAGCAGCTCCATCTGTGTTTAATATAAGTGGGCACAGAAAAGACAAATTTTTGAAACCAACAGGCAGTGAGTCACTCTTTTTGTTCTGGCATGTCATGTGGTACTTTAGGTAGCTTCACATTTTATGTTCTAGTTAAGTAAAATTCCTAGAGAATGAGATAACTATCTCTAGATAATCTGTTTGATCTTGAAAATACACAGAATTCTTTGCCTCTTGATCCTGGAGGACTCGTGACTTTCCAGCTCTGAGAGAGAACAGGATCCCTCTGCCAATTTTTTTTTCTGTGATGTAAGGCAGAGCCTGGTCACTCCATCTAATGCTGTCTGTCTCATCTCATGTATAGGAGCGGGATGCTGCACTCCAACCCTGGGGACTATGCCTGGGGTCAGACAGGGCTTGATGCCATTGTAACCCAGGTGAGGAGCTGCCTTTTGAGGGTGTCTGTTCAGTGTGTCTCATGGTTCCACAGACTTCCTGCTTTCCTTCTGCTACTTTCTGAAATGGGAGTCACTCTGCTTTCTCTAATATTTTGAGCTTTGGGGTTTCCATTTTACTAAAGGGATGAATGATTTATGGGGTTAGCTCAGCATCCATGCACTTTCTAGATCCGAGAGAATTTCTAGAAGATGATTTCACCTCCGCAGGAAGAAAAGACTTCTATAACAAATAGTATTTTGTATTTTTGGTCTCTTTTGTTCAGTCCTATAAGGATTCTGTTAAGAAGTATTTCACAAAAAAGGAGGGTTTCCTCACATGTTGAAGCAGGGATTTCTGCTAGATGGAACAAAGTAGGGGAAGGAAGCAGAGAAAGGGGTATTCCCATGCCATGTATAATTGCTTCCATTTGTTTATGTTCATTTTAATTTGATTGGTTTTTCATTTCCCTTGTGGATTTCTGAGAACAGAAAGCATGTCCTTTAAATTCGGTCATCTTATAGGCAGTAATTTACCTATTTCTTGGCTTACATTATGCTGCTTTTCATACTCCTACTTTTTGTTCTTCCAGGAGAGTGAAGCTTTTGGACCCGTTACATATTACTTTTTATTAAGCTATAGTTTTATTCATGACATCACAACCCTTTTGCTGCCTCTGACATTGCTTTATGCCCAAAGGTGGGCCTTGTAACCATGGGTTTGTCTGTAGGCTTATACCAATGTCACTCTGAAATTGTAAAGCAATTATGAGTGTTCTGGCAGCAGGAAACGGGGAACCCAAGCCTCTCAGAGCCTTGCAGAAGCAAGAGTAACTAACATACCTAATACCTGCACTGTTTGTTCTCAGCTGGAGCAGCTCCCTCTCCAGGAATACTGAGATGTCTGCCACTTCATCTTTTTCTTTCTCTCTCTCTCGCTCTCTCTCTTTTTTTTTGTAGCTTTTAGGACAACTGGAAAACACAGGTCCTCCCCCAGCTGACAAGGAAAAGATCACATCTCTTCCAACAGTGACAGTAACTCAGGAACAAGTCGGTAGGTTCATTTTTATACTTATTGTGTCAACTTCTGATCTCTGCTCAGAATCCCAGTATTTTCTGACAGGTGAAAAGTTTAAAAAATGAACAAAAAGAAAAAAAAGACAAGAAAAAAAAATCCATGATACCGTCCTATATTAAGGACCTTTTTGTGAAATCATAGCCCTAATTCCTACCTGGGTGCCAGATCTGCAAAGTTCCTACTCCTTTGGTTAGTCAGTAGGTATTTCCTGAGCAATTACCATGTCTCTTTTTTAGGTGCTGTTGGGAATAAAGAGGCATAAAGATAGATGAGACTTGATTCTAATAAGTGGAAGAAAAACTTATCAAATGATTAAAAACTGTATTGGACACATGATACTGACATTGGGGAAAGGAGAAGAGAAAAAAATAGGAGGCTGGGAATTTGTTTTAAATCTACTTTGTGTCAGGTAAAGTTAAGTATATTAGTCATAGATACGATTTTATTTATAAGCACTGAAGGAATTTAGTGACAAGGGACAGCATTTTGGACCTAAACCATCAATTCAGGTTTAGAATGAGAAATTTCAAAGACAAGGTGGGCCATCTTAGGTCATTCTATTTAAGGAAAGTATGAACTAATATAAGAATATCAACATATACATGGTGTGTGAGTTAGGTAAAGTGGTCTTTAGGGAAGGTGAGTTTGGGGGCAGTGTGTGAAAAATATTCGAAGCGAGAGAGAGCAGGAACAGGTATTAGAGTCTGTCGCAACAGTCCAGGTGGGGTTCAGGTGATGGTGACAATGCTGAGAGGAAGGAAAGCGTAGATTAAGAAGATCATTTTGTTTTTGTTTTTGTTTTTTTAATTTTTATTTATTTATTTTTAAAGAAACAGGGTTTCACCATATTGGCCAGGCTGATCTCAAACTCCTGATCTTGTGATCTACCTGCCTTGGCCTCCTAAAGTGCTGGGATTACAGGCGTGAGCCACTACACCAGCCAGAAGATCATTTTGGAGAAAGGCTTTCCCCACTGATTGCATAATGGGATGAAGGAGGGGAAAGAGTCAGAAATAATTCTAAGATTTCCCAGCTTTGTAACTATAAACATGGTGCTGCCATCTTCAGGGATGGGGAAATAGTGAATGGCACTGGTTTGGGTAAGGAGATGAAGTGATGTTTTACATTTTTAATTTATTGATTTTTGAGGTGCCAGCTGAGAATCCAAGTGATGAAGAGGAGCTGGGAATTGCTATGAAGCTGATTTTAGGGAAAATTAAGTTGTAGCAAAGTACAGGATATGTTTGGAGGGTTAAGACAATGGAATTTGGGCTACTAGCTGGGAGGCCATCGAAGCACACTGGGCATGAGAAGTAAAAGAATTAGGCCAAAGTTCGTGGGAATGGAGAGTAAGGAGTAAATCTATTAGGTAGCAGTGCTGCTCCAAATGCCTTATCTGCTGTTGGGGCATGGAGCATATCCCAGCCACTAGGCGTATAGACTAGCTGGTAGTATTAGACATAGGTGGTAAACTTAAAACTTGCTGCTTGGAACTCCCAATATGGTTTGTGACCGTTTCTTCTCAAAGAAGAGGGCTTTCTGCTCTTGGTTTGGTGACCGGAGCTGAACTTTGGCTTTGCAGTTCTGCAGCACTACTTCTGATCTAGCTTTTTTTCCCTTTGTCTTTTTTATTTTTTCTTTTTTTTTTTTGAGATGGAGTCTTGCTCTGTTGCCCAGGCTGAAGTGCAGTGGTGCAATCTCAACTCACTGCAACCTCCACCTCCTGGATTCAAGCAATTCTCTGCCTCAGCCTCCCGAGTAGCTGGGGTCACAGGTGTCCACCACCATGCCCAGCTAAGTTTTGTATTTTTAGTAGAGATGGGATTTCACCATCTTGGCCAGGCTGGTCTTGAACTCCCAACCTCAGATGATCCATCTGCCTCAGCCTCCCAAAGTAGTGCTGGGATTACAGGTGTGAGCCACCATGCCTGGCTAATTTTTGTATTTTTTTGTAGACACAGAGTTTCACTATGTTGTATGTTGGCCAGACTGGTCTGGAACTCCTGACCTCGTGATCTATCTGCTTTGGCCTCCCAAAGTGCTGGGATTATAGGTGTGAGCCACTGCATCCGACTCTTACGCCTTTTCTTTATGCGTTTGCAGGGCTGTTAGAGACATTGGGTTAATGTTTTCTTCCTTTTCTTTGTTTACTTTAAAACGCATTTCCTTCTTCAACAGATACGGGTTTAGAGTGTCCAGTATGCAAAGAAGATTACACAGTTGAAGAGGAAGTCCGCCAGTTACCTTGCAATCACTTCTTTCACAGCAGTTGTATTGTACCATGGTTAGAACTGGTGAGTACGGCAAGTCATGGCTTCTTGGGGGGATGATTGAGAGCGCAGGTATTGTTAACAGTTCCTCGAGATCCAGGTAGATCAGATTTTATCCCATAAATCCCTGGCTAACTCTGATACTGTTATTTGTTTAGAACTTTTCTGGCCAAGGGTTACAAACTGTGTTCCACAGGCCACTGTGGCCTCCCACCTGTTATTGTAAATAATTTTTTTTTTTTTTTTTTTTTTGAAATGGAGTCTCACTCTGTCACCCAGGCTGGAGTGCAGTGGCCCAATCTCAGCTTACTGTATCCTCTCCTGCTGAATTCAAGCAATTATCCTGCCTCAGCCTCCTGAGTAACTGGGATTACAGGTGCCCACCACCATGTCTGGCTAATTTTTGTATTTTTAGTAGAGTCAGGGTTTCACCATGTTGGTCAGGCTGGTCACAAACTCCTGACCTCGTGATCCACTTGCCTCGGCCTCCCAGAGTGCTGGGATTACATGTGTGAGTCACTGTGCCCGGCTGCAAATAAAATTTTATTGGAACACAGGTATGTTCATTTGTTTATAGATTGCCTATGGCTACTTTTGTGCTACATCAGTAGAGCTGATTATTTATAACAGCTGTGGTGTGGCCTGCAAAGCCTAAAATATTTGTTGTCTTTCCCTTTGTGTATTTATTTTGAGACAGAGTCTCACTCTGTCACCCAGGCTGGAGTGCAGTGGTGTGATCTCTGCTCACTGAAACCTCCACCTTTTGGGTTCCAGTGATTCTTGTGCCTCACTCTCCAGAGTAGCTGGGATTACAGGCATGCATCACCACACCCGGCCAATTTTTGTATTTTTAGTAGAGATGGGGTTTTGCCATGTTGGGCAGGCTTGTCTCAAACTCTTGACCTCAAGTGATCCGCCTGCCCCGGCCTCCAAAAGTATTGGGATTACAGGCGTGAGCCAGTAGTGCACCTGGCCAATTTTCCTGTCCCTTTAAACAAAAAGTTTGCTGACCTCTGCTCTAGATCATATGGGAAGTAATGGGCAGTTACCCTTTTGTCATAGATCGCTCACTGTTTGTGGTTAGCTCTGTTTGGTGGTATGTGTTAGCTGTTATTAAGTTGCTGGACTAGAATTGTGCCTGTCAGTTCTGCTTCAAGTTCTGTTTGGGAGATATCCTGGTATCACACCTTAGACCCCCAGAGCATGCGGTACGAGGATGCATTCCCTCTTATTTTTCTATTCCAAGTCATGAGTTTTGATGTGACAGTTCTCAGGGTTACTTAAGTGTGCACTACTCCCAGCTTCTCAGGCCAGGATCTTCACATAGACTAATATTTTTCTGTTTCAGCATGACACATGTCCTGTATGTAGGAAGAGCTTAAATGGTGAGGACTCTACTCAGCAAAGCCAGAGCTCTGAGGCCTCTGCAAGCAACAGATTTAGCAATGACAGTCAGCTACATGACCGATGGACTTTCTGAAGCTAAAAACCACACCTGAATCAGGGCTGTGGTAATCATCTTACCATAGCTGTAAATTGTATCAAAACAAAAAATTAGTAGATGGATATAGGAATCACATAAGAAACCCAATGCATAATATTAATGCAATGAATGTTTTTCTTCTCTAAATTTAAAGTTAGTATTTATAGATGGAATTGTATCTACAACCAAATGCCTCTTATTCATGAATTGAGAGTGATAATTTTATAAGTGTGAAACTTAATTATGTAGGGCTCCCCCCACCTGAATAGAATCAATCCCTTAAAGTCTAGTTAGGGTACTGCTATCTGTCATGTCGCCTTTGTAACAGAGGTTTCCACCTCCTTCTCCACCCACTATCCCACCATTAGTGTATTTTACTATAAAAACAGTGGAACCACAGCCTAAAGTCCTGCTGCTATAAAGTCCTTTTGTCTTAATTGTATTTAAAAAAAAAAAAAAATCTATTCTTGGTCACATTAGCTGTGAGGTGAGGCCAAATTAATTCAGGAATCTAAGACTAATGATTTTGTTTTGTATTGATTCCCAGAGCACAAATCAAAGAAGAATTACAGTGAGAAAGGAAAAGTGGTTTACCACCATGTGCGTTGGTTTTCTTATTTAAATTTTTAAAGACTACTTCAGTTGATGCAGTTTCCCCAGAAAACTACATAACGTATTTTGGGAACTTCATGTTGGTAGGAATCTGATTCCGTTTCCTTTTTGGGAAAGAGTTGGGCAGCATACAGACATAGAAAGACAGATGTTTGAGATCTTTGCTTTTAAGATTGTAAAAAATGATCCCCAACTCATTGATTTTTGTTTATTTCTTTGTGTTGCCTAGGCTGGAGTACAGTGGCACGATCTCAGCTCACCACAGCCTCAACCTTCCAGGCTCAAGTGATCCTCCCACCTCAGCCTCCCGAGTAGCTGGGACTACAGGCGTGTGCCACTATGCCTGGGTAATTTTTGTGTTTTTATAGAGACAGGGTTTCGCCATGTTGCCCAGGCTGGTCTCAAACCCCTGGGCTTAAGCAATCCGCCTGCCTCAACATCTCAAAGTGCTCAACTCATTGCTTACTGTCTTTTTTCCTAGTAATCTTAAAATAATTTGTGTCACAGAAATAGATACAGTAAGCATCTGCAGCCAGTTCACTGTTTTTAGTAACTCATTGGTCTTCAGGAGTTAAGATTTTATGTTGTCACATTTTAACTCTTTAAGCCTATTTTTCATCTCTGAAACTTTCCTTTTCTGCCTGGTTCTGGCTATACTTGGACTCAAACTGACCAATGTGAACATGTCCAAAACAGCTTGGCCTGGGAGAATTAGGCCTTATATTTTCAGCCTTGTAGCATCCCATGCCCATGCTTTTTGTAGTATTTAAGTGTTTAACGTTGAATAAATGAAGGTCAGGAATGTTGTGGAAACTTCAAAATCTCAAAAGGGGAGACATATAACAGCTGTTGGTGTACCAAAAGAAGGTACATAGGGGCACCGTTAATATTGTCACGTTAGCCTTTGATAGTTTAGAATGATCAGAACAAGAACACCACTCTTTAATGGGTTTCTTTCTTGGCTAGGAGTCTTTCCTCAGTTTTTGTTGACTATCATATGCCGATTTGTAGGTGATGGCAGGGGGCTTGAAACCTTTTTCTGTACTTTGGTAGAGGGTAAAGGAGTCAGGGAGGGAAAAGAAAAAGTGGGGGAGTGGCCTGCTGAAATAATAACCTGCCTCCAAAAGTTGTGACCAGAAAGTATGATTCAGCTGGGCTCAGAGGGAATAAAAGATGTTTTCTCATATACCTCCCATATTACACCTCTGTAGTGATTATTTATTTGGGGAATGAGATCTACACTCTGTGGGTAGCCCCTGAAATGTAGCTTGAGAATACACACTGGTTTTGAATTGGGGAGGAGGACTTAAGGAAATGAGAGGTGAATTATGAATATTTGGCTGCTACTTAGATGGAGGAAGGCTGCGTTGAAGTTGGAACACATTAGAGTTTTCAAGTACACAATGTTAAGTTGTCTCAGAAAAATTATCATTGCCTGGCCACTTTTGTCTGCCCATCAGCATCTGGAAATGCCAGGACAGGCAGCTGTAGTTTTACTTAGGGCTGGAGAACTGATGCCTAGAGAACTAGAAAGGATCTGAGGTCTTTACAGGAGGGATCTGCCTTTTTATACACAGTATAGCAAATAGCATCAGACTAAGTTATCTGAAATTTTCTTCACTTTTTTTGCTCTGATGGATAGAGGACGTGAGACTCATTTTGCTGTTTCCCAGACCTGTCCCTCTTAATGAATCTGTTGTGTTTCTTCTTATAATGGGAGGTACCTCATATGTCAGGTTAATTTACGTTGAGGAGTTAGGGTTCTTTGGGGATTTATTATTATTATTATTATTATTATTATTATTGAGACAGTCTCTGTGTCACCTACACTGGTGGGCAGTAGCATGATCTCAGCTCACTGCAACATCTGCATCCTGGGTTCCAGTGATTCTTCTGCCTTGGCCTCCCAAGCAGCTGGGATTACAGGTATCTGCCACCATGCCCAGCTAATGTTTTTTTTGTTTTTGTTTTTGTTTTTTGACTTTTTTCAGCTAATGTTTTATATTTTTAGTAGGGATGGGGTTTTGTCATGTTGGCCAGGCTGGTCTTAAACTCCTGACCTCAGGTGATCTGCCTGCCTTGGCCTCCCAAAGTGCTGGGATTACAGGTGGCAGCCAACATGCGCAGCCTGAGATTTATCCTTAGGAATTGGTTCACACAGTTACGGAGTTTGCGAAGTCTCGAGATCTGCAGCGGGCCAGCTAGAAATCCAGGAGAGCTGCTGGTGTAGTTCCAGTCTGAAAGCCAGCATGGAGACTCAAGAAAAAGCTGATCGTTCCACTCCAGTTCAAAGGCAGGAAAAGACTGAGGTCTTAGCTCAAGCAGTCAGACAGGAGGAGTCTTCCCTTACTTGTTCTGTTCAGACCCTCAACTCACTGGATGAGGACCACTCACATTAGGGAGGGCCATGTGCTTTATATTCAGTCTACTGATTGGAATGTTAGTCTCATCCAAAACCACCCTCACTGGCACACCCAGAATACTCTATGACCAAATATCTGGGCATCCTGTGGCCTAGTCAGGTTGACAATAAGATTAACCATCACAAGAGGAAAAATGGAAATGATGCATATATACAGAGTGTTCCCAATCCCACTTAAGTTTCACCAAGTGAATAATGTGTCTCTATGAGAAATGCTTGCTTTGGCTTAGAGACCTCAACTAGTTACTGAGTTACTGACCTCAATACATAGTTAAGCAGTGGAAGAACTGTATATGGGATGCTAATTTGCTGTGTATGTAATTTCTGTTTTTTCTTTTTAGCCTAAATTAACCTAGAAGTCTGAGAGACCTCCCACTCTGGGAAGAAGCATTTTAGATTATTTGGTCTAATACCAGAACATGGTTGCAGTTAAACATTTACTTCTAGGAATGCCTTATCCTTAAATGTTTCAGACACAGTTTAGATAAAATGCCCAAGGCAGGAGGCTAGATAGCCTGAACTTTTCAGATGTTCCTTCTTTTACAGCTGGAAGGCTTACACACTCAGGAATCTGGAGACTTCATAGGAGTCAAGGGAGAGACAGTTCAACTTGCCCTGATTGTCAAAGAGAAGAGAAAACTTGCGATTTCTGGTCTTGGAACCCTTAGTCTGAACTTGAGGTCGTTAAATTCATGTTAAGCAGCCCTTTGAATTTTATGCCGTGCTGAACAGATTATTTTCTTATTCTAAATGACTTTTCATCTATATATTTTCCATTATAATTCTAATAGTATATATGTATCCTCTTGTCTGTTACAGTTTGAAATGAGGGAGAAAAATATTTGGTTAGCACCTAATTAGGAAAGATTTCTTAGAGATTGGTAGGCTTGGGAGTTGTGAGGTCATATAGGGCGCTGCCTTGGTTTATTGCTTCTGTGGTAGTTTCCAGATAGGTTGGTCTAACCCATCTTCACATGGGTTAGTTGTGGTTGGACAGAACTGGAGAGTCTGATTGGAAGAGCAAGATTTATCCCATATCTCCAATATCTTTAGGTTTCAGAATTAATGAGTTGGGAGCAAGAAGAAGAAATAACCCCAGCATTAAAAATTAATTTTCCAGGCCGGGCGCGGTGGCTCAAGCCTGTAATCCCAGCACTTTGGGAGGCCGAGGCGGGTGGATCACGAGGTTGAGAGATCGAGACCATCCTGGTCAACATGGTGAAACCCCATCTCTACTAAAAATACAAAAAATTAGCTGGGCATGGTGGCACGTGCCTGTAATCCCAGCTACTCAGGAGGCTGAGACAGGAGAATTGCCCGAACCCAGGAGGCGGAGGTTGCGGTGAGCCGAGATCGCGCCATTGCACTCCAGCCTGGGCAACAAGAGCGAAACTCCGTCTCAAAAAAAAAAAAAAAAAAAAATTAATTTTCCCTCAAAGTTCCTGTTGCCAGTTCTCTGAAGAGTTAAGAAACTTGGAGAATCCAGAATGACATTTTGTCCCTGTTGCTGTAGCTCTTTGACTGTTTCCCCAAAATAATGCTTTAATTTATGAGAAAAAGTCTAGAGGATGTAGCTTCCTTTTAGCTCATCATAAAATGTATCAGCATTTGCTGCGTAATAGTTGGGCAGGTGCTTCTTAGATGTTTTCTTTGAGCAGGAATTGGTCCAGGAATTGGCTCTCAAGTTAGAAGGAAAATTTGGGGGGAAGAACTTGAGTTTTCCCCAGTCTTTGATTAAATAGTTATTAGGGAAAAGATTTATTGCTTATGTCTTTGTATTGCATATTTATATATATATGAATATATGTGTAAATATAGATATTTATATTCACAAACATATAGGCACATTTCACACTGAAGGAAGAAGGGCTATGGTATGCACTGAGGTAAAGTGAGCAGGGATACAGAAGAGGGCTGGAACCTCACAGTCTGATTCTCTCGTTGTACATAACCTGATTGTCAAAGAGAAGAAAAAACTTGTGATTTCTGATCTCGGAACCGTTAGTCTGAACTTGAGGTCCTGAACTTCATATTAAGCAGCCTCCCCTTTGAATTCCATGCAAAGGGTCTGTGTTTCCCTGAGTTCTCTGTTACAGGGCACTGTTGGCTTGGGCTGGTACCTTGTTTGCTCTGTGATAAAGGGATTCACTGGAGGTAAAAACCTAATCGTTTCCAAGGGTTGAGACTAAATGACTTTGAGGAAAGGATATTCAACATCCGTTGCTTCTATATTATAATTATAAAATAGAACTATAATACAGTTATCTATTGCTATTGAAAAAAAAATTTCCTGACAAATTATTGACACCAAATTGAATAACTCATGACCTTCTACATGTTTCAGCTTCTTTCTCTCTGGTTTCCAGGTGCTGTTCCCTCAAAAAATACAAATTAAATATATTGGTCTTAATAAATCAGGAGGGAAGCATAGTCTGTGTCTGTTTTAAATGACAACAACAAAACAGGCTTTGGGGCTTAAGGAGTGGAAGACAGAATTTTTTTTTTTTTTTTTTTTTTTTTTTTTTGAGACACAGTCTCACTCTTTCACCCAGGCCAGAGTGCAGTGGCATGATCTTGGGTCACTGCAATCTCTGCCTCCTGGGTTCAAATGATTCTCTTGCCTCAGCCTCTCAAGTAGCTAGGATTACAGGCACGCGCCACCACACCCAACTAATTTTTGTATTTTCAGTAGAGACAGGATTTCGCCATGTTGCCCAGGCTGGTCTCGAACTCCTGACCTCAAGTGATCACCTGCCTCGGCCTCCCAGAGTGCTGGGATTACAGGCCTGAGCCACCACGCCTGGGTGAGAAGACAGATTTTAAGAGAAGGAGCAGGGCTGGTATCTGAATAGGTATTTGGATGTTAGAGGAAAACCCTTTTTGGCCTCTGTGGTAGAAAGATGAGGAGATAAAAGTGCTGTTTACAAGAATAATCCATTGGAGCTTTGGGGATTGAGGAGGATTTACAGCATAGAGTTCTGTTACTGAGAATTCCCACAATGAATCTCATATAATTTCGTCACTGACGCAGTAAGATGGAGGAAAATTTTGATGGGATAAACATCACCAACGGCTGTCCTAAAAAGGGGAAATCCTAGCCTGCAGCAACGTCAGTGTCTCAGTAATCAGTCCGGGAGCCACTGGGCTGCTCCAGGGGTTTAAAATAGAACACAGAGAATATAATGTGTGCAACCGGAGATGCTTTCCAGGATCAAAATAGAGCCCTTGTCTGATCCAAACAACATTGTAAGGTTTTGATCTCATACCTGCCACAGACAGGTGCATTATAGGCATTCAACTTTAAGGTTTTATACATACAAACTTCATGTCTTCCTGCCAAACTACACTTGGTGTCCACAGAAGTGTAGTTTGTATGTTGCCCTTTTCCCCCGTTTCAACCAGGACACATAGATCTGTGAATCATAGGATGTAGGCTTGTGGTTCTTTATCTTTTCCAAAAATTACTAGATTCTTGGCTGGGCGTGGTGGCTCATGCCTGTAATCTCAGCACTTTGGGAGACTGAGGCAGCAGATCACTTGAGGTCAGGAGTTCAAGACCAACCTGGGCAACACGGCGAAAGCCCATCTCTACTAAAAATACAAAAATTAGGTGGGTGTGGTGGCATGCACCTGGAGTCCCAGCTACTTGGGAGGCTGAGGAGGGAGAATCACTTGAACCCAGGAAGCAGAGGTTGTAGTGAGCCAAGATCATGCCACTGCACTCCAGCCTGGGCAGCAGAGACCCTGTCTCAAAACAAAAACAAAACAACTCTAAAAT